AATTCCTCGAAAAAAAAAAAACAATCTTGAAAAAAAAAAAATAAATCACTGCTCACATGCTGTTGAGAAAGCTTCTCTTGCAGCATAGCAATTTGCATTTTATCGAGCTTTCTCTGTTCCCTGAGCCTTTTAACTTCGGGACTCCAAAAAGTCTTTATTGTATACATAAACTCATTGAGCTTTTGAACGGCAAGGTCATAATCAGTTTTTAATGATTCTAGTTCGTTTCTATAGCGTGCATCGTTAATTCGTCCGTCTCCTCCACCAACTTCAAGACTAAAAATATTCAACAGACAAGCTTCTGCAGGTTGAAACATTCTGTTGAAGCGTCCTTCTACCCTTAAAAACAAATAAATTCTTAAAAAAATAATTAGATAATGGTACTTCGACGGATGTTTCCAAAATGGCATTTCAGCGGAAGAGTTTGGGTATGACCCTGGACCTGAAAACTGATTTTTTGCAAGTTCGTTCGGCACAGGGACTTCAGATGATGGAAATCCAGACCAGTTTTTTTCTTCACGATCCATAAGCAGGTCCATGCCGTCGACTGACCTATGCTGCCTATAATAACAATTGGATTTTAGCTTAATAACAGTACGTCAAAAGCTGTGATTTTGAAACATGCTTTTACAAACAACATTATCTTTTATATTGCAAATATTAGTCTAACAATCATTAAAAATAATTCAAAATCCAATTTACAAACAAGAAATAGCAATAAATAAATTTCAAATCTTACTGTGCCTACAGATTCGGGAAAAGCTAGCTGACAACTTTATAAAACTAACCAGCGGGATGTTCTAAGTTGTTGGTTTTTTGAGGTTACACCAGACGAAGTCATTTGATCAAGAGCATAAAGATTCGACGGCCCAACACTTTGACATCGGTGTGATGAACTACTTGGTTGTGAATATTCATAACCATACTCGTCCTCACATTGCGAGGAATCTCGATCTGCGGTTAGAATCTTTGTGTAGCCAAATGATGGTTTATTTCTTGCTCGTGCTAATCGATCTGATTTATGGCTGAATAACATAAACATCTCATAGTCCAAAGTTGCGAACAAAATACATTATTATTTTTTCCCTTTTTTTTCTC